CACTGCCCTCAGAGTGAGAGGCGGCTGCTTGCGCCGCCCAGGGGGGGGGGTCGACCAAGCCGCGAGCAGCCCTGAACGCAGGCCCTGAAGGCCCCACGCAGCCCAGGAGGTGCGGTGCAGGCCCCCCTCGCTCCCAACATAAACGCGCACCCGTCCTTGGGGCACATGTGCAGGCCGGACTTGGAGTACTCCCTCTCTGGCAGCTCGAGGTTGACCCACACCCTGGCCGCCGCGTTGGGCCGCAGCAGCAGGCCAAACAGCTGCTTGCCGGTCCACAGCTCCTGCGGCACGGGTTCGAGGTTGGAGGTGGACGAAGACGGATGTTTGGGGGGGCCGGGGAGGGAGGAGCGGGCCAAGAGGTGCGGATGTTGGCGGCGGGAGGGAGCTGCGTGAGGGCAGGGGAGGAAGGCGGGGGAGAAGGGCAGGGAGGAGGGAATAGGTGCCAGAGCAATGCACGTCGAGGAAGTGAAAGGTGAAGTCTGGGGAGGCGAGGGAACGCTGCAGAGCTAGGAGTGGCGCCCTGGGCTTGAGTTAAGGAAGAAACGTGATGCGGGCGGCCGCCAGTTGAGAGGTGCAAGGCACAGGGGCCCGAGGGTCGCGGGGGCGTTCGGTAGAGGAGGCGGCGGGTGCTGACCCGCGGCTTGAATATGGCGGGCGGCGGCAGGTCGACGTCGTCGGTGGCGTTGCCCGCGTACGACGCCAGCTGGCAGATCTGGGGACGGGTGACGGGTGAGGGGTGAGCGGAGGGGGGTGCAGGGTGCACGTGAGCGGAACGGAAGAGGGTTGGCACTTCAGTGGGGAGGCAGTGTTGCGGGGCCGAGGGAGGCTCGCGGGCGCCCGCCCCTGCTTGGTGCTGAATGCTGCTGGGGGTGGGGCGGAATGGCCCACGGTGTGCATCCTATCAGACCTGCGACCGCGTGAAGAAGCGGTCCTTCCCCGTGATGTAGAAGGCCGCCGTCAGGAAGTCCTGCGGGCAGGGGCGGCAGGATGGGGGCCGGCACGCGGTTGGGGGCAAGCCAGGGGCAACGCAACAGGGCTGCAGCTCCCGAGGAGACCCTGCGATGGGCGGCGCGCGAGAGCAGGATGAGAAAGAGAGAATTTGAGGAAGCAGCGGCGGCGCGGGCGCGCGGCGCGCCTGGGTGGCGGCGATGAGCGTCTCCCCGTTTTTGGGGGTGCACAGGTTGCGCGTCGACGCCATCAGGATCAGCGCCTCCGCGCGCGCCTCCTCCGTCTGCACGGCCAGGGGTGGCGTTGTGGGTGGGGAGGGGAAGGGTGTCAGGAATGATGCGTTTGTTGAGGTGTGTGAGCGAGAGCGGGTGTGCGTGGGGGGGCGGGGGGGGCGGGCGCTGGGGGAATCGCGGCGCTGGGAGGGTCGCCGCGGCGGCTCGTCCTGCGAGCTCAATCTTGTGTGATCAGTCCGTCACACGTCTGGCATCGCTTGTGCCACGGTAGAACTGACGCCATCTGGCACGCCGCCCCCACCTCCCCTACGCCCACGACCGATCCGTAAGCTGCGCACCCCTGTGCAGCTGTCTGGCAATTAGTGCCCTATCAACAAACACACACTCTATAACACGATTCAATCACACCTCCCGCTCACAACACACACACATACATACACACGCGCGCGCGCCCCCCAACCTGCGGCAGGTGCAGGTTCATCTCGTCCCCGTCAAAGTCGGCGTTGAAGGGGCTGCACACGCACTCGTTGAACCGCAGCGTGCGGCCCGGCCGCACCACCGCCCTGAACGCCATGATGGACACGCGGTGCAGGCTGGGCTGCCTGTTGAAAAGCACCACGTCGCCGTTCTGTGGGGGCAGCGGGGGTTGCAAGGCAGAGACATCTCGGCGACCGCAGACAGAGGGAAATGGAGGGGGTTGCTCCACCCCAGCGTGGGAACGTGTCGACGGGGTGTGCGCGTGCTTGCCGCCCAGATGCTGGCGTGCTCGTGCTGCGAGCCGCCGATAAACCAGCCAGCTCAGCCCTCAAACTATGCGGCTAGACAGCCGCCCCGGGGCCACCGGCGCGCCGGAAGCCGGCCCCAGCTGGTGACTGGCCAACTTCCGCTCCAACGCAGCCTCAGATCCTGAGATCTCACCCTGAGGTGGCGCTCCACTATGTCCCCCACCGCCAGCTCTGACGCGTGCTTGCGGCGGATCTAGGACAGGCGGCCAGCAGGCGCGTGTGTGCGCGTGTGCATGTGCGCGTGTGTGAAATTGTGATTGCACGTGTGCGCGCGGGTGCGCGTATGTTAATATTTGGGGGGGGACGAGAGCAGCAACGCCTGCCATGCGGCTCTGATGGTGATGGGATCCACACAACCCAGCGCGAGGCAAGACAAGGACGCCGCTTATGAAGCGCCCTCCACACGCGCCGCCCCTACCCCCAAATGAGGCCGCGCCACCAGCAAATCGGAGCAGGCAGCAGGCACACGGGCGAACAGCCAGAGCGGCGACCGGCTCTCCCTTCCTCCTCACCTTGTCGTTCGACAGGAATATGCGGCTTCCGTCCAGCTTCTCGACGAAGTTTGCGCCCGGCCAGCTGGCGTGGCCGGCCAGCACAGCCTCCCGCAGCCGCCGCATGTTGAAGAGCGTCGCGCGCTCCGGGTACGTCAGCGTCGTCGCCATGTGCAGGGGGACAGCCACCTTGTGTTTGTTTGGAGGTGGGGGGGGTGATTGGTGATTGGTGGCAAGGAGGTGGAGCGGGCAGGCGTTGGCAGGCGTCGGGGTTTGCAGGGGTTTTTTCGAAGTGCGTCCCGCCGCTCAGCACGGCCTTGTCTCTGACGGGTCAGGCCCGCGGCAGGGGGGGGGGCGTGAGAGCGGCGCCGGCACATGCGGCCGCACAACCCAGAGCTGCAAGGGTTTTGACTGTGCAGCTCCCCGGTTGATCATGACTGCCAAACCGCCGAGACGAAACCGCTGCATCAGAGCTGACCTGGTGTATAAGCAGGTTTGGGTCTGGGCTGATGACCGTGCGCGCGCTGAAGTCCACGCGCTTGCCGCTGAGGTTGCCGCGGAACCGCCCCTGCTTGCCCTTGAGGCGCTGCACGAAGCCACGCAGCGGGCGCGCGGGGGCGCCGCCCTGCTCGCGCGTGTTGACGCCGGGCAGCTCGCTGTTGATCAGCATGGCGCTGGAGATCTGGGGTTTTGGGTAGGGTTTTCGAGGTTTGGAGGCATCGAGGGCTGGGTGTTTCGGGTGTTGACGAGCAGGCGTGTTGTCCACGAGACAGGCGTGAGCGGATCACGGAGCGTTGGAAGCGAGCAAAGGCGCTGGTGTGCGCTGGCCCCTGATAGTTGAGTCGTCAACGGTGGGCAGCCTAACAAGGCTGAAGGGTGGAGTGTGGGCGTGGGGCCAGCAGGCACAGTCAAGCAGCGGTCAAACAGCGGTCAAACAGCTCTGCACGGAACCCGACCCCCCCCACCTGCAGGAAGTCCCAGTGCTCTGCGAGGCTGCTGATGGGCAGGCCGCGCGCCAGGCCCTGCCGAAGCTCAGAGTTGACCTCGATGATTTGCTGGGGGGGGGGGGGAGGGGTGGAG